TGAAATATACCTCTTTTTTACTACTTTTTTTTTTAGTTTTTTGTTTCTTTCATAGTCCTGTAAAAGAATCCCAAAGAGCTCACCAGCATGAAAGCACTAACTCTGACCACGATACAGAGGAACAATGATTTTAAGAACTTTGAAAGGCAAGTAACTTGACACGGAGCATGTTTCTAGATCATGGTTTGGAAGAGAACCATCAGGACGAACCCAGGGGTCCTGTGAAAGGCTGCTGGCCTGGGCGAGGAGGGAGCTGGTGCTCACCACTGGCCCTCTCCACAAATAGTCCTCTCTGTCCAACTGCAATGTAAGTACTTCCAGCTGACCATGGGGAAGCATGTTTTCTAGTTTATCCCAATAACACTATCAAGAAAATAGTCAATGGAGTAAACAAATGCAAACCTCCAGAAAACATTTCAGGGACTGGCTTGCTGCTACAACAGGAACGGTGATATCATAATCACCATTGTGGAGCGGATGCCAGGCAGCATTGCCAACCTCTTAAGAATAATTGACATTTTTCTAGCATGCAGAGTGGCCATAACAACCACTGCAGCTGCACAATAGGCTCCGCCGTAACACTTCCTTAGCAACCTGCTTAACTCTGTGACTTTGAAGTCATCCCTTATTTTGGCAGCAGGAGGAATATTTGCTGGTCATGAACTTTTCAAAGGTCATCAGCTGGAAACCAGCCGACCTGCTTCCTTTCCCCACCCGCCACGCCCCTCCCGCCCTGCCTGCCTGCCACACCTCTACATCACAGGACATCATGCTTAAGCGCTTCAGGAAAAAATAATGCACCGTTTACATTTTCCTATGGAACAATACATTTTATTTGGGGGATGTTGGGGAAAAAAGTCCTAGTGTTGCTGGCCCGTGTTTTATTAACCTGTCCCCAATTAACAGAAAGGATGACACTAATGGAAAGCAAACCATTTTGCTTAATTCATCTTTTTTGGTTTATCTTTTATACTTGGTGATTAAAGTATACCTATAAAGCTTGTAGTTAGCAAAATACACAATTAGTTGATATTCGACTTGTAACTTGTATTAGAGCTCAAAACTTATACTTAATTTTCATTAAGAAAAAAATGGCCAGTAACTGTATTACTTCCAGAAAGGGATTGTTTCATATTCTTAAGAAACTCAACTTGAATAATAAATTTAATCAGCTTTAACATTGCCAAAGTCTTCAAGTGATTTTATTCAATTGGTATGTTCAAGAAGAAATAGGAGACAGTAACCAACAGTATTGAGCTGCTTTTATTTATTAACTATTTTAAAACATCTCATTTGATGAGAGAAAAATAGCCAAACTGTTTCTTCACAAATATTTTTAGTTATGAAAGTCACACTAATTTAAATAAACTTACTTTTAGGTTGACCATTGTTAATTATATAGATCAGGTAGCTTTTCCTTATTAATTATGCATATATATAACACACATTTAAACTTTTCTAAAATAGAAAAGGGTTGCAAGTATAAGAAAGTCTAAGAACATTAATAGGTAGTGTTTCTGCTTCCCTTTTCTCCTAGGGAGTTACGGTAATGTCCAAGTAGATTCAACATGTTCAGAAGTTGATACAATCATTGGCCATTTTTGCTTATATCTATTAAATCAAAGCACTGCAATAAAAGACGGAAGGCAAATAAATGATTCATTAAAAAGTTGCTTGCTTTCACTGCAATGCCTTACAGAGCTGGGAGCTGTTTTGATATGCATATGTCAATCATTAACAGTAACTGGCCTCAGTAATGCCATTCATCACTTCAGGTTTGTAGAACACTCAAGTTCACAAAAGTTTCTCAAGTATTATGCTGTTGAACACAGTGCTGTGACTGAACCTCCTCCCACCCTCTCCTCTCTGCTTCTCTTCCTCCCTTCTTTCTCTTTCCATCCCTCCTGGAAACTGCATTCAGCCCTGACAGAAACCAAGGAGGTCTGGTCCTTGATCCTTGAGAAGCGCAGTGAGGGGCCACAGAGCAGAGAGGAGGGTGGAAGGGCAAATTCCATTCTGTTTTAGAGATGGTGAAACCGAGGCCCAGGGAGGGTGAAACAGTTGCCTAAGTGAGACCACATAAGCCTCAGGACTGAAATGTCCTGCCTGCTTTCCAGTAAGCTTTTCTCTCCATACACAGACACGTGCAACAAAATTACGAACGCATATTTGTTGTGTGATGTCCCTCTTTCTCTTCACTGTAAAAAGAAGGAGCAGGGAATTGTGAAGTGAGGGCGAGGAGAATCTGGCCTTGCTCCCCTGTAATCTTCAGAAACAGTCCAGTCTGTTCAACTGGATTAATTAAAGCCAGGACTAATACCTGGCACTTCATGCTTGTCTACTGAGAAGAGCATCCTGCTGAATCTCAGCTTTGCTCCATGGGGCTGGCATTGGTAGGCGCGGGGCAGGGTAGCCGGGCAGAGGAGATGGGCAGTCACCTGGATGGAAAACAGATTTGAAGTTGCATTTGGGTGGCAAAACACTTCGTTTCTAAAATGTTTATTTGAGGTGCTTTGAGGGAGAACAGACAAAGATAATGAGAGCATCAGGGGGCAGTGGGCTGAAGGCTCTGAGGGCGAGTTGAATGATTCTTCTCTGCTTTTTGCCAAGGACACTCGGCAAAAACACTGATGACCCCACATGTGTGAATACAGAAGGAAGCTCATCTTTGCAGTCAGAGGTGGCCCGTCTCTAGGAAGGACAGATTGATTCTGAGTTATCCTAAGCAAGATGGTCGAACAGTGAACTCTGTTAAATCTATGAATGTCAAACCCTCTTCTGGGGAAAATGCCGGCTGAGCAAAACCCCTCTGGAGCCAAAGAGACAGACAAGATTGGCGGCTTACCTCCTGCAGGGCATTGACATTTAATTATGAATCATGGGCTATTTTAAACATACAAGAGAATCTATGTCTAACCCACAGAGGTATATCATGAAAATCATAAACAACCACTGATGAGCGAGTCATCAAGTCTGGAACTGAAGAGTTACCTGCACCATCGTGTCTGCTGGGCTGCTCCTTTCAGCACCACCTCCTGCCTCGTCCCCCTAGAGGGCCTCCATCTCTGAAACTCTGGCTTAATCCTTACCTACTTTAAAAAAACAGTTTTAGCACAAATATATGTGTCTATCTCAGAAATGATACATTGCTTAGCTTTGCCTGGTTTGGGGGTTAAATTAAAAAGTCTACCATGCCAAATCTTTTGCTACATGCTTATTTTCATTCAGTATTTTGTTTCTAAGATTCATCCATGTTCTATAGTACATAGGTACAGCCATCTTCGCTTCTGTATAATATTCTGTTTTTCTGTATAATGGCTTCTGGGCTGTCTCAAAGCTACTCTGGACTTCCCTGAGTACAGTTCCTGGTGCCCAGGTGCGTGTGAGTTTCTCTAATGGGCAGTGGAGTGCTACCCCTAGACTACGCAGGTGTTTGCTTTCCTGAATACACAATGCCTGATTGTTCTCCAAAGCTGCTGAGCCAATTTACTTTGCCAACAATGATGTGTAAGGATTTCCATTATCTGTATCCTCACCAACTGTTAAATTGATCACTGTAAAGTTATGTTTGTAAGGAGGTTGAACATCTGTTCATATTTCCATTGACCACTGGAGTTCTTTACTCTATGACATTCTTGCTTGTATTTTTGCCCATTTTTTTTTGAGATTGTCATTTTTAGAAATTGATTTTCAGAGTCCTTTATTCCAGGTGTAAATCCCTTGTTGGTTATTGGTGTTGCAAGTGTCTTTTCCCAATATATGTCTTATAATTTCACCCTTTTAATGCTATTATTTAAGAGCAGAAGTTCTTAACTGTAATATAGTCAAGTTTAACTATAATTTCTTTTGTGGGTAATGCTTTTAGTTCTTAAGATATTATTTCATTCCCAGAATCATAAAAGCATTCTCTTATCTTTTTGGAGTTTTAAAATCGTGCCTTCCACATTTAATCTATTAGAAATTGATGTTATGAGGTAGTGATACAAATTTTTATTTTTTTCCCTTCTAACCATTCCTTGAATGGCCTCCTTCTTTTCCAGGTGACATGCAAAGTGCCTTTTTACTTCAACAGGAAAAGAAGTCATTGTTTAGTTTAAAATAATGGAAGATCATTGTATGAATGATTGTGCCTTCACACTTGCACATGTGTGTATAAATAAAGGTCATTTTCTTCTGAGTAAAGGGGATTTCCTTGATCCCCAAAGTCACATCACTTCAGCAGCTTCCTGTTAGATCTACTCTGTGTCAAGCCCTACTGGGGTTTTCATTTATCATTGCAAAGTGGCCATAGTCTGCTGCAATTAATCCCCTTGCCAACAAGTGCATTTTAATAATGCCTTTTAAAAGTCATAAAATGTTACTTTTAACATTGGGGTGGTGGCTACAAAGTTGATTCTGTTTATTTTTTGCTTGCATTTTCTGCATACATTCTTGATCTCAGGCAAACCAGCAGACGGGTTCTGGGCCCCTGGCAGATTGGAATTCATGTTTGACCGCTGTGATGTGGTTCCTGTCTCCCAGGGGCTCCCCATGACCCCTGCTGCCTGTCCCTGACTCTTCTTCCCAAGTGGCCACAGCAGCTGCTTTTCCCTTCCTCCTCCTCAGGTTTGCCGGGGAAGGAGGCTTTGCTGCTCTTCCACTCACCGCTGCCAACCCACTCTTCAATTCACTCCACTGGGCCACGAATGTTTAGAGAGCATCTGTTGAGTGCTGTGCCCTGCTGGTGTCTTAAGACAAAACGCCTGTTCTTGCCTCAAGTCTAAATACGTTATTCTCTTTTCTCTACTCTCCCCCTTTCTAGTTCCTTTTCCCCTTCTCAGATTATTTACATTTGTATCTTTAAGTGGTACAAGTTTGAATACCTTGAGTTCTTCTAAGGGGACTGAAAATTAATAAATAAAAATACTAATGTCTAGTAAAAAGCTTTTGCCTAATCATTTGGTGTGAAAATGAATAAGATAGAATACTCATTAATATTCAAAAGGCCAGTTATTTTCTTTCAAACATTGAAAATTTTCATGTTTAGTGAATGCCAGTGTGTAAAGTAATTAACACAGATTGTAATGATTATCTTCACACCATATCAAAATAAATGTATCATAAGGGAACAGAGAGTAAATTTTTAATGTGATTAATTTGTAATGCTATGTATTCCAAATGTTATATAAAAGCCTGTTTTATAGAGAAAAAAAATACTTATAAAAGTGGTAGGTAGAAATAATAAAGTAAAATGTCACAGCCATGCAGACGACCAACAAATGCTCTATCAGACCCTGTGTTCTCAGGACAAGTAAGAGCAACTGACAGGCCTGGAAGGCAGACTCCCCTCTTCTCCATCCCCCAGTGTTTACCAAAGTTCACCCTGCAAGGAAGCATCATCTAGGAGGTTTGGACCGTCTTTGCACTTTTTCAGTTACCAAGTCCTTACACGATAAATAATGATTGAACTTATGTTTATGCAAAGCTTCATCTTCCCACCATGGTGCCAGCTATTGGCCTTGAATTTGCCTGAGGTCTGACCGCCTCAATGCTTCTGTTGTATTCAGTATAGTGTGTGTCCTTCAACTCAGCCTGTTCTTCGCCATCGTCCAACTTTTTGGATCTATTTGGTATTTGACTGCTGGATGGATAAACTCTGGGCTTTTTGTTCCCTTTTTAGGTGCATCCAGCCCCCAGACTGGTGCTATGGTGTGGATATGGTTGCTTTGTCCCTGCCACACCCCTGATGAAATTTGGTCCCCCTAGTGGAGGTGCTGGGAGGTGGGGCCTAGTGGGGAGTGTTGGAATCATTGATACAGATCCATCATGAATGGCCCAGCACTGTTCTCACAGAAGTAAGGGCTCACTTTGGTGAGACTGAGTTGGTTCCCCATGGAATGGAACAGTCGCATGCGAGTGGCTTTTTACAGAGCCAGGAGGCCCTTGGGTCCTCTCTTTGCTCTTGTCCACTTCTCCTTTGACCTTCTCCACCGTGTTTTGACGCAGCACCACAAAAGCCCTAGCCTTGCCAGAAGCAAGGGCCATGCCCTTGAGCCTCCCAGCCTGCAGAACTGTGACCTAAATAAATCTATTTTTTTAAATTAAATACCCAGTCCCAGGCATTCTGTTATGGTCACACTGTACAGACTAAGACACTGGGATCAGGGTAGGTGAATCTGGTAGAGAGAAGAAATCACATTCTTCATCAGCGGTTTACAGATGGAGAAATAAAGCACATACCAACTAACTGCCGCCCACGGTGAGTGCGGGGTACATGCTTGTGGTCGGGCAGAATGATGCCCCAGCAAAGATGTCCACAACCGAAACTCTGGAACCTATGACTATGCTACCTCACATGGCAAAAAAGACATTGCAGACGTGATGATTAACTTAGGGATCTAAAGACGGGAGGCTACCCTGGACGAGCTTGGTGAGCCCCAGGTAGAGACAAAGGTAGAGACAGAAGAGGGAGGACGAGGAAGGCTTGTCTGCAGAAGAGGAGGTCAGGGTAATGCTGAGTAAGAGGAACTCAATCTGCTGTGGCTGGCTTGGAAGATGGAGCAGGGCCACAAGCCCAGGAATGCAGACGGCCTCAAGAAGCTGGAAAAGTGGAGACGGACTCTCCCCTGAAGCCTCCAAAAGAAACCACCCTGCCGATACCTTGAGTTTAGCCCAGTGAGGCCTGTGTCGAACTTCTAACTTAAAGAACTGTAAAATAATTAATTTATGTTGTTTTAGGTTACAACAATTTGGGTTGTGACATCAGCCACAGGAAAATAAGACAATGGCCCAGAGGGTAAGGGTGAAAAAGTCTAAAGAATGGAAAAGTACCCAAGAATATGAGAATGAAGGTAGTTGGTTTACTGCCTACGTGTGATCTGGAAGTTAAAGTATGTTCACCTTGAATTCCTTAAATCAAAAGTTTCTTAATAGTTCAAAATCTAATCACAAAGTTAGCATGTAGCTCTGTAAAAGGACTAAGTCATGTGAACTGCTGACAAGTTAATTGTCCTCTGGGATTTTACTGTCATCCTCTCATGAGTTTGATTTGTTGCTTCAGAGAAATAGAATTGCTGATTTAAGTCTGCTCACAGGCATTGCTGTAGATAAGCATCTTCCCTTACTTAAATTCACAGGCATTTATTGGGCCATCTTCACCATAAATAACTCTCAAACCTTGTCAGAGTCCACAGCAGGGCTAAGGCATGGGAAATCTGATTACCTGTATTGCCAACTGCCTAAAAAATAGGCTGAGCCCATGGCAGTTCTGATGTGTATGAGTGTACTTCCAGAGTTAGAGATCAGTGTGGTTTCACTATTTTTCATTTGACCTTCAGAGATGAACACTGGACTCAATTATCCAACCCTCCCCTGACATTTCCTCTGGAACTTGGAACTCTGCTAACTCAATCCATCATATTTCCCCTAGGTCCACATAAAACGTAGTTTTAATCATAAACTAATTCTAAAACTAAGACGCCTATTCCAAAGAACATCAAGAACTACGTCTTACTGTGTGCCCAGGGACGTGCTTACCCGTCCTGCAGACCAGCCCTTGCAGATGCATCATGACTTAATGGGTACAGGATGTGGGAAGCAGGAAATTGTACAATCAGATTTCACAACAATATGCGTAGTGTTATTCTACCTTCTACCATATTCAAGTTTTGAAATTTAACATTCAAATTTCTTCAGTTGTCCTAAGGTTTTGACAATTTCTTCAATTGTCAAAAAATAGGTACAGGATGTGGGGAGCAGGAAATTGTACAATCAGTTCAATTTTTGTATGGGAAGGGTGTGTGATTTTTAAAATGCGGCTGAATGTGAAGGAAAGAAGAAAGGCAACCTATGCACAAATACAGATTTTTCTGTGCCGTTTTCACACGACCACAGCTTTCTAACACTTACTTTGTGGTGCTCTCTGTGGCTCTACATACACTTCCTCATCTTATAAATTCATGAGTACATGACTCACATACTCTGTAGAATTATGTGGTCTTTGGCGGCAGACACTGAGACAAGGTAGATGGAATTCAGTGGCATCCATAATAAGGTTTGCATGGGAAACTATATTCAAGCTTGGATGAAGATGGGTGGAGGCGACTGTGGGGATGGAATCACTTAATTGGTCCAGCTCCTTTGGGACAGGGTCAAAAGGGTAAGGCGGAGTTGGGGCTGGGACTTTTCAATACTGAGAGAGCTCCTGGGGAGCTGGTTTTCACAGAAAAGACCACAACCAATGGTGTCCTTTATCCCACAAAGTGTCAAAGGTTCTTTTCTATCATAAGGTCTTAGTGCTCAAAGAAGAAGAATAGATCATCATGGATTGGAGAATTAAAACTCTGTGGGAGAATTCAGCTTTCCTGGGGGTTTCCAAGACATGAACTCTTTCATCACTGCTTTGTATTTTACAAGTAACAGGTCACTGGACAAGGTGTGCCCCTGGAAGAACTTCTGTCTCCTGGCCTGGAAAACAGGTTTCCAGTCCTTGCCTCCTCCTGGTGTTGCTGTGAGGATTGGAGAGAGGTTATTTACCTGAAATGCCTACCCCAATGCTTCACATGTCCTCGCTACTCAGTAAATCCTATTTTTCCCCATCAACTCCTTTTCTGGATGAGGGACAGAATTTCTGAAAAAGCAGATACTTTAACATCTGCATGCTCTTTGAGTCAACAGTTTTATCTGGCTGGTAAAATAAAACTTAGATTCTAACTCAAAAGAGGGCTTCATTAGCATCATAGATATCTTCAGAAAGACAATTAGACTTAACTAAACAAGTGTCAGTGCTAAGAAAATACTATTACTGTTGTCATTATTGTTATGCTTTTATGTATTAAACCAGATTCTTAACCACTTGGCATTATCAAAATTTAACAGCCTCTAAATCCATTGCCCTATGAAAAATAATAGCCTTTTATCAAATTTCTGCATCTTGTAAAATAGTCTTGGTTCTAAGTCAAAGTAATTCAGATATCTTCCAAAAACAGTTCTCTTTTATTAAGGGGATAAAAGATAATTAAGGCTGAAGTGAGACTTCCGGTCAGTGGGTTCCCAAATGCAGCTGCATGTTAGCATTGCCTGAGAACTTTCAGAAATGGATTCTTAATTGTCTTTTCATACACCCCAACCCAGATTCTGTATTTCAACAAGGTGATTTCGATGTGCAAACAGGTTCGAATGCCTGTGATAGAGTGCAGAACAAGTATCTTTAAAATAATGGGTTTCTCATTAAAATGTTTTTAATAACCACTTTCATAATTCATTTGAAACTGCTTTAGTAACTCTTAAATTAGTGGTCACCATATTCTTCATTAATGTCATTCAACAATATTCACCATGAGTTGCGACTTCCTAAAATACTGACCTGAAAGATGTATTACAGAATAACGTTTTAGCTACGTAATCAATTTATTGAGAGTCTACTGCATGAAGGAAAGAGGTTATTTAAGACCTAATCTCAGTGTTTAACAGAGTGCATGTCTGGTGGGAGTGACAGCTTCACACATAGAGAAACAGTCCCTGATACATTCTAAATTGGGCAGTGTACCCTGCGATCGTCTCAGGAGTTCCAAGGAGGGGTGACTCCAGGTGGAGGGAGGCTTGCATTGCACAGGGTTGGCCATGCTCTTAAACCCAGTAAGTGCTACATGAAAAGAGTAATTAGCAAACTCAAATTCAGTTCGTGAGCACATCAACATTATTTTCCAAAACATAACTAACTCATTTTGAAAATAAAGTAAACATTAACATGGGTTAGTATCAAAATAATTTGAATTTATATGTGAAGGATAAAGAAGCATTTCTCCTTCACAGAAGGAACAGACTGATTTTCTACATGACCGTTTATGGGAAAACTGGGAGGGCACCTTCCTGCAGCTTTTGTAAAATAAAGATGGGCATGGGCTGTTTGCATTAATGAGGCTGATGAATCTCACCAAATGACACTTCAGCTTATTGTCCCCCGATTTCCATGATGTCCTACGGATCTGATAACAGAGTTTTTGTTATCAGAAAGAAAAAAGATGGAGGAACTTCTCTATTCCTGAAATAAGAATATTAAAGCAACTCTACATGGATGAACCTCTGAGTCATAAAAACTTGATTAGAAAACTGGACATTTATAGATATCTTTCCTTTTTATTTTTTGATATTTACTAATGATTATCTTATGAAAGATAGGTTACTAATTTCAAATCTTCACATATACAATAACAGCAACTCTATTAGTAATTATTCTGTAGTTTAAATTAGTGTTTATTAACATTTCCTTGCTTCATTCTAGAATGTATAAGTGAATAATTAAATATATTCTTTGGCAGCAAATTATTCGCAGTGGATATTTTCAAATTCAATTTAGTGAATAAGACCTCACAGACAATGGTGTAAAAATTACAAACATGAAGAAAATGTTAGCTCTCTCTTAAAGAAACGAGATAAAACTTAATAAATTTCCCATGTAGAAATAATACAAAGTGCCATGATCATTAAGTTATTAATAAATAGCCATTAAAATAACCCATGTAAAAACAAGAAAATTTCTACAGACAAAAGTCCCACAAATTTCTGAGCGTTGATGAATAGTGAATGCTTTGCAAGAAATGAAAAGATAATGTTTTCCAGCATGAAGAAGTGGGATTGGATACTAATAACAATGGTGTTCCAACCTGTCCAGCTGCTCTGGCCTGGTAAGCATGTAGAAAATGCACCCTAATTACTGAAAGCATGAATAAATGATGTAAGAGACAAGCGTAGCTGTCTGTAACAGTATTAGGAGATATACAGAACTAGAATTTTACAGAATGCTTCTTTGCAGGAGCAATCACCCAGAAAAGTTAGTTATCTAACTACTTTAACCATAACTTATTTTCTTATTCAGTAATTTATCCATTCAATAAAACTTACTGAACTTATCCTGTGGGCCAAGCAATCTGCAGGTATCCTATCTGGAGAGAAGGTTTATTAATCAGAAGACTGGCTAACAGTGTGCCATCCACTCCACTGCAAACTCAGGATGAAACATTAGTGATCAGGACTAAAATAATCTGAGAATCAATTTTCTGATCTGAAACCATAGGAATAAATATTTTAAAAGCTCTTCCAACACCTCTTGACCCAGAATTTCTGTAACTTGTTTGCTATATTTAGCATAACCTAGCGTAAATTAGAGATCACCTTCATGTTCCTCAGTGAAAGTGTGATTTATAGACATTCATTTAAATCTGTGTTTATTTATTTATTTATTTATTTTATTTATTTATTTTTTTTGAGACGGAGTTTCGCTCTTGTTACCCAGGCTGGAGTGCAATGGCGCGATCTCGGCTCACCGCAACCTCCGCCTCCTGGGTTCAGGCAATTCTCCTGCCTCACCCTCCTGAGTAGCTGGGGTTACAGGCATGCGCCACCATGCCCAGCTAATTTTTTGTATTTTTAGTAGAGACGGGGTTTCACCATGTTGACCAGGATGGTCTCGATCTCTTGACCTCGTGATCCACCCGCCTCGGCCTCCCAAAGTGCTGGGATTACAGGCGTGAGCCACCGCGCCCGGCCATCTGTGTTTATTTATATTATGCAATCTGTGTTTACTAAGATGCAAAGCCAATCCTGCTATAATTAACTGAAATCGTGGGTTATGGCTATATGGTAGCCACATGCATGTTTCATGTTTTGGTAGCCACGTGCAACACATATAGCATATACCTACATATATT